AGAAATGAATGTTGGCAAAAGAAGTGGCGGAATGATCTTCCGAAATAGACTTGGCGTCAAATATACGAATGGTAGAGCCGGGAACGACGATTTCGTTTTCAGCCGAGATGAACGAGGTGCCAGTCGAGTTCAATTTGTAGGGAGGTGGAAGGTATCGAGTGACGATATAGTAGGTCGAATCATCTGGGATTGCGGAGATGTGCAACTCATAACAATCGATGAAGGGTTTTGCTTTCTTGGCGGCTTCGGTTTCCGCAGGGTTTGAGCGTAGGGCATCGAGAAGCTATGATTCTTGGGTGTGTGTAGCTTGATATTAAGAGTACACACACCTGGTCAATATTTTCTCCATCCAAATCGTTTGTAAAATCTAAGAGATATTGAATGATTTCTGGACAGGGAGCAAAGGCTGCTGCTGGAGGAGCATCGGTTTCGAGGCCTGTGAAATACGACAGGTGGCAGGTCGAACACACTACGCGATATCAGTACGTCGCATCAAAGGCCACAAAATGGCACACATGCGATGCCGTTTGTAGAACCCTCTCTGTTATATCCTGGCGCGATCAGCAGCCAGTTGACATACTAAGAAGTTTAGACATTCAAGTTGTCCGTGCTCTCGAGTATGAACTGATTGACTTGCTGATAGCCTGGCTTGTTGATTTTATCAAGGATGTGGTAGTAGTGGAGTACTGGAGGCAGCACGTAACAAAGCGCACAACGACCGTATCGAGCCAGGATCATATTGCGTGTTGTAGACGAGAAATGAGACATCTTGAGTTGTTCGTGGTGATGGTAAAAGACAGAAGAGAAAAGAGAGATACCGCCAAGGACTGAGAAGGTGGAAATAGAGAGTCCAGCAAAAAACACAGAATTGGGGAAATTGAATGGGGAAGAGACGCGCTCCAAAATGCCGAAATGCCGCAGAGATCAATTCCCACGACACATTTTCGACAGCGCCAACCAAACTCTACCACCGACCACCACGAGCGCGTATAAACAAGCGCACCTATCATGACCGACAATCCGTATCTCGCCCATCTACAACCGTCACAGCGAGGAGGGCCCTCTAGGTCGTCCAGGAACGGGTCAAATGTCGGCGAGAATGAACCATTATTTGGCTTCATGCCGCGAAAAGTGATAGGGGACCAGGCGCGGAAAGCGATAGTGCGTACTTGTTCCAGATTGTTACATCCAAACTAACAATATGTACAGGAACATGAACTCAATCCATTCACGAAGCAGCCGCATTCAGCGCAATACAAAAAGATTCTCGAGGCGCGCAAAAAGCTACCGGTTTACGGACAAATGGACGAATTTTTCAGGATGGTGAGTACTATGCTGCCCACCTGTTGAGGAGGGGTTTAAGTTGTTACCTATAGATACCTTCTCAACCTTGTCCAATATCTGGCTGACTCATTGCCCCCAGTTCAAGGAAAACCAAGTCATAGTCATGGTTGGCGAAACCGGTTCCGGAAAAACGACACAAATACCTCAGTTTGTCTGCTTTTCCGATCTGCCCCATACGCGAGGAAAACTGGTGGCATGTACACAACCGCGTCGTGTCGCAGCAATGTCTGTCGCAAAGCGTGTTGCCGATGAAATGGATGGTGTGTTTCACTCAATGATTTACTTTCGCGTTATTTACGTTGGACTAGTGCAACTGGGTCGACAGGTCGGTTACTCGATTCGTTTCGAGGATATGACAGAACCGGGCACGACATTCTTGAAATACATGACCGATGGTATGCTTCTGCGAGAAGCCATGAACGACCCCGAGCTACAGCGTTATTCCACCATCATCCTCGACGAAGCTCACGAACGCACTCTCGCAACCGACATTCTCATGGGGCTGCTCAAGGATCTTGCCAAACGGCGGTCGGATCTCAAACTCATCATCATGTCCGCCACTCTCGACGCCCTCAAATTCCAAAAGTATTTCGGCCTTACGGCAGGAGCACCAGCACCTCTGTTCAAAGTTCCTGGTCGAACACATCCCGTCGAAGTATTCTACACCCAGGAGCCAGAGCCTGATTATGTGGAGGCTGCTATCCGCACTGTCCTGATGATACACCGCGCCGAGGAGCCTGGAGACATCCTTCTCTTCCTTACCGGTGAAGAGGAGATTGAAGACGCGTGTAGAAAAATCAAGATCGAGGCAGACGACTTGGTAAACCAAGACCCAGATTCTGTCGGTCCCCTCATATGCATACCACTGTACTCCTCCCTTCCTCCTGCACAGCAGCAGCGGATCTTTGACCCCCCTCCGAAATCCAATTCACCTGACGGTCCACCGGGGCGGAAGGTCGTGATATCGACGAATGTTGCCGAGACGTCCTTGACTATAGATGGTATCGTGTATGTGGTGGATCCTGGTTTCTCGAAACAAAAGGTGTATAACCCACGGATACGAGTAGAGAGTTTGCTGGTCAGTCCGATATCAAAGGCGTCGGCACAGCAGAGAGCTGGGCGCGCCGGACGGACGCGACCGGGCAAGTGCTTCAGGTTGTACACTGAGAAGGACTTCATGAACGAGCTTGAGGAACAAACACACCCAGAGATTCTACGATGCAATTTAAGCAACACGGTGCTTGAGTTGGTCAAGCTGGGTATCAAGGTTAGTTTCATTTTCTGATGAGTACTTTGCACTCATCTGCTCCAAGGATCTCGTACGATTTGACTACGTCGACGCGCCTGCACCAGAAACACTGATGAGGGCGCTTGAACTGTTAAATTATTTGGCGGCTTTGGATGATGACGGAAATTTGACCGGTCTGGGCGCCATCATGGCAGAGTTCCCTCTTGATCCCCAGCTGGCGAAAATGCTCATCGTCAGTCCGGAGTTCAAGTGCAGTAATGAAATTCTCACTATAACCTCTATGCTTTCTGGTACGATGATGTTTATACTCCTTCAATTGAAGCTTACTCTCTATCAGTTCCCAATGTGTGGGTGCGACCACCGAATGCTAGAAGTCAAGCGGATGCGGCAAAGGCTCTCCTGACTGTCCCCGATGGTGATCACCTCACAATGTTGAATGTGTTCAATCAATACATGCTCAGTATGCTCACCTGCTCTCTTCTTTCTGATTGTCGCTCATTTCCCGTTCTAGACAAGTACGACAAAAACTGGACGTACAACAACTTTCTTTCAGGCCGTGCACTGATGCAGGCCGAGAATGTCCGTGCGCAGCTTCAACGCACCATGGAGCGCTACGAAGTCGAACTTGTCTCGCATTCAGACGAGAAGAAGTTGTACCAGAACATCCGCCAAGTGCTCGTGTGCGGTTTCTTTATGCAAATCGCACACAAAGAAGGCGAGAAGGGTAATTACCTTACGGTGAAGGACAACCAGGTCGTGGCGTTGCACCCTTCCTGTGGCCTCGATACACAACCGGAGTGGGTTCTCTTCAACGAGTTCGTGTTGACCAAGCGGCCGTACATTCGAGTAGTGACAGATATTCGTCCAGAGTGGTATGCCGTTTTTCTTCTAGTTTCGTTCCGCGCTCATTGGGAGATCCTTAGGTTGTTGGAATTTGCGGCGAATTACTTTGATTTGTCGACATTCACTGATGGGGAGACGAAGCGAGCGCTAGTCCGTGTGCAGAATAGGCGCTTAGGAAAGTCTGAGTCAAACCCTCCGCAGAAGCAGGGAATCGCCAAGAAGCCAAAGAAGGAGCTTGTGGGTAGTGGAAGTGAAGAACCGAAGCAGAAGAAACGTAAGATGAAGTAATAATTGTTATCTTTGTCTGCAGTTGGTGTTAGATCTACATAGTTACTTATGTACTTTGTTGAATTTGGTTGCGCAGAGGCTCAATCGTCTGTCGTCCCTGTGTAGAATTCCACAGCGTGCTGAATGACGTATGGCTTGTGTGGCGTAAATTTATGGTGGAAATGCTTGTGAATCCTGTGTCGACTCTTTGTTTTCCTGCGCGATGGGGAGGCGTTGCTAGACCTATCACTCCGAGGTATTAACTTGTGACTTGACTCAATGTAGTGCGCGCTTTTTGGCCATGAAATTATCATAACTTACGCTCTGTCTTTATTCTTACCATTACAGAACATCTGCGTGCAACCATGTCCACAATGCTGTGCGACCATCTTTGCATAGTATAAGTACTAAGTGGTCCGGCTTAGGACTGCTCATTGCGTAGGTCAGGAAGTAGTAGTAACCTTAGCGGTATTGAATCTGGCAAGGCCAGTACCAACTCATCTGATGACTTCGAGTTTGAAGAACCTAAGAGGCACGGGGCGCGCCGCTGCGCCACATCTGCAAGTGCTGGTATCAACCTGTTAGTGACAGTTTGAAAAAAAGAGCGGTCTGAGGAGCCAGTATTAATGGCACCCCCGAGAGGTGCCTTACTGCGCCACCCTACCTGGGACTGGCAACTGCGCTCACTGCTCAGCCTCCGCTAGGGCTGTGGAATAAACCTAGGTTTTAGTACATCTCAGTTTTGAGCAGGTAATTTACCGGTAAAAAACCAGGGCCTCCGGGATGGGGTGGTAAAAAATGGTTTTTGACCACCCCCCCCGGAGGTTTTTTTCCACGACCCTAGCCTCCGCTGGGTCACTGTCCGCCTCATTCTCATTGTCACGTTACTAACACCGCCGGGAAGTTTACTGTAGGGTGATGAAGTAAACCCTAGGTTTTGATACACCTCGGGTTTACTGCAGTAAATAACGGTATCAATACGGTATTGAAACCCTCGGGGGCTGGGAGGTAGGGTTGATACCGGCACATGACTACTGCACGTGCCGGCGCGCTGGCACTCAGAGAGCCTGGAGGTGGCGGGACTAAGGCGGGATGAAGGCGGCAGGGCGCGGCGCCACACCACGTGCCCAGAACACGTGGCCGTATCGAAACCGGTAGTATCGGTTTGAAAACCTGAGCCTCCTGGGGGGTCGGTATCGATACCGTTACTAACACCCGCGGGAGGTTTACTGCGCCACCCTACTAATAGCGATTTTTCGGCTTGAATGCAAAAATGGAAACAGATATTGTCTCATAGAGCCCACCGCGAGGGTCGAACTCGCAGCCTTCAGATTGGAACGCATGTGTGCCCTAAAAGTCTGACGCTCTATCCGATTGAGCTAGGCGGGCTGATGTACATAAAATATTTGATAGCCTTATCACTGAGGCAAGTCAGTTACATCACCACCGCGATCGCGACTTTTGATCAGTCCATGTCCCATCTCTCTGGCTTACACGTCGACAACCTTGAAAATGCCTCAGTTCCCTGCTCTCAAAAACGATCTCTTACTACGAGCTGCGCGCGGTATGGCAGCCCAGTAACCCACCATGTCCTTTCTGACGTGTCTTGCAGGCGAGAAAACCGAGCGCGCGCCGGTCTGGATTATGAGGCAGGCAGGGCGCCATCTCCCAGGTTAATACTCTCCGCCCCTCCCCCCTTTCTTCCCCGCGTCAACTCGTCTTGTCAACAGAATTCATGAAGCTGCGCGAGACGCACGGCTTTTTCGAGATCTGCCAGACGCCCGCTCTGGCGTGCGAGGTGACGCTGCAGCCCGTGCGGCACTACGCCGGGCTTTTGGACGCCGCGATCATCTTTAGCGACATCCTTGTGATCCCGCAGGCGATGGGAATGGAGGTCCTGATGCAGCCCGGGCCACACTTTACCGAGCCGCTGAGCTCCCCGGAGGATGTGAAGAAGCTGCTGGTGGATGTGGATGTGCACGCGGCGATGGAATTGCGCACGGTGTTTGAGGCTCTCACGCTGACGAGGACCGAGCTTAAGGGAGAGGTGCCGCTGATTGGGTTCTGTGGCGGGCCGTGGACGCTGTTCGCGTATATGGTCGAGGGAGGCGGGTCGAGATCGTACAGCAAAGTCAAGTCGTGGCTTTTCAAGTATCCGGAAGAGTCCAAGGCCCTTTTGGATCGCATCGCGACCGTCTGCGTAGACTTTTTGGTTGGCCAAGCGCGTGCTGGAGCACAGGTGAGATTACTATGTTGATGTTAGTTCATCATGTTTAATCGACTTGCCAGCTCTTGCAAGTATTCGACACAAATGCTGGCGAGTTGTCACCATATGACTTTCACACGTTCGCTTTCCCAGCGTTACAGCGTATCGGTAAAGAGGTGCACGAACGCCTCGGCGCCGATGCCGTGCCCATGACACTCTTCGCCAAAGGAGCCAACCACGCCATTGCGCACTTGGCCGAGCATGCTGGCTACGATGTCCTCGGTTTGGACTGGTGTATAGAGCCCTCCGAGGCGCGACGATTAGTTGCTGGAAAGGTCGCGTTGCAAGGAAACATGGATCCGGACATTTTATATGGTGGCGCCGAAGCCATAGAGGCCACCGTGAAACGTACAGCGGAAAGTTTTGGTGGTTCAAAAGGCTGGATAGCAAACCTCGGACACGGGATCACGCCTGGCGCGAATCCCAAAGATGTTCGCTGGTTCTTTGAATGTGTTCATAAATACTCGGCCTTGTAATCTGACTGTTGTAATATTATCGCGTCCGCTTTTGCCACGAACAATACCAATCTCATGGTCGATTTTGATGTGCTGGGATCTCCCAGATTCCTCTATTTTCCCCTTGTACAATAAAGTACACCCAGTAAAGATCCGAGTCGTAGGTATACAATTATACAATGTACTAGGCCAGTGTACCGTAAAGTAACGTAGCAAACACGTAGAGCAAGACAAACAGTGTAACATAGATAAAAGTCATAAAGAGGTCGTAAATAAGAACATGGTACTGATACATAGGGCATGATGGATCATTGCTGTTTCTTGGTTATTGACGCAGCGAGCGTTTCGGTCGGCTCAACATCGGGTAGTGACGACTCTGATGAGACGGGTGACGATGCGAGTGAAAACAGGTCGCCATCACTTGGAGAGCGACTGGTACCATCCATACTCTGTGACGTGGGCTGGACCTTCCGGAGCGAGCGGTAGCCTCGGCCAGCTCCCTGCGTAATGTCTCGAGCTCACGTTCAAACCTGAGGCAGATCAGTACGCCGCGTCAATTCAGGCGCATCGGCGACTTACTTGCGACCAAACACTTCAATGTAGTATCCACCCCCATTCCACACGCTGACGGAGAACATGAAGATCAGAAATATGCCACTCCAGAACGAGCTGTCGTAGAGCACAAAGACTGCAGGGACTTCGGTCAAGAGTGTGTAGACTGAAATTTGAAATCAGTATATTTCGGACTATCACATGGGAGAGACGACGAACAGAGTTGACCAGTCATAAATGCCATAGGGCGATAAGCGATGGGAATGTTGGATAACGCGCGTCCAATAGCACTACGCTTGTCGTTGAGCATCCATGAGAAAGACGTCGTACGCTGGCCCGACTCGATTTTGTCCCGGCGATCAACGAGGAGGAACTATACTCGCCAATCAGCTCATTTCACTTCCAAAAGAAAGCGATGCGTACCTTCCAATACAAAAGTTGCCATATCAGGTCTGTTTCGGAACACGTCAGTAGGACCCTCAACGCGTCTGGAAAAGGACACGCACAAAGACCGCCACTCAATGCTAACGCTCTGATAGGATCCAGATGCGGCAGTTGTACAAGAGCCGGGAAACGTGCCTCTGCGTTGGGATAAAAGTGGCTACCAGGAACATCAGGTTGGGAGGAACGTGTCTGGACGAGTCACATACCGTATTACAGTGAATGTGAAAGGGGCGTAGATATGCACAAACAGGGACGTAACCTTGTCTTGATCGTGGAAGACCAGGCTGTTCCGCCATGTGATTACAGCGCTGGCGAGGGATCCCATAGAGAGGCAGTAGCAGGAGACGAAGAGGGAGGGGCTCGAAGGGAGAAACCAGATGAAGAGGAAATTGAGGAATGTCGCAAAGTAGCACATGTCGAACATGAAGTAGTGCCACGCGCGTTTCTTGTATGTGTAGGCGCGGAGAGGCAAGAGATAGAGACCTTGCACGGTATATGCAATATGCACCCATCTGTTGGTAATGTCAACAAGAGCGACAGACAAGCGGTGGTAACGCACTGGGGAGCCATGCCAAACATGAGCGCGGAGAACAGGACAGACATGACACCAAAGAAGAATGATATCTTGTCTCTGGTCCGCACTACCTTGGCAGAATGCCATTCATTGGACAAGGTTGTCATTCGTTTCGAAATCTAATGCATGGTTAGCCAGCCATCAAAGATCTCCAGAGGGCGCGCACCTTGTGTTTAAAGTTTTTGATTTCACGGTCAAGATTCTCTGCTAAAAGATCCCCAGACAGTTCCGGTATTTTTGCCTTCATCTTGAGTCTATCGCCATGTTTCTGTAGCTTGCGCTGTATCAAGTCGACGTGCGAGTCAAAGTACGTCTCAAACGTATCTAGTGGCGGAGCAGTTAGCATTATTAGGACTACCGACGGCGCGAAAAAAAACGGACCCAGTAATGTGAATCCACTCGACCAGTCAGCCATTTCGTCGCGTACGCTTTGCAGGCGCTCGAGGGAATTCGTGAAATATTTCAGGTTTTTGTTCATCGGGGGAGACGGCGGCCGCGACGACATGGTGGGTGCAGGCGCGGTGGTGGTGGTAGGCAAGCAGTGTGAGTGACTCGTCACGCGTCTTGCATTGTTCGTGACGGATGACGACTCTGTATAACGCGACTCGCTGCACTCTGTTTTCTTTCTGTCTGCCCGGTTCTCGCAGATATGCAGTTCTTCTTTCAGCTTCCACAATACGAGTTCTTCAGGAAACTTATGCTAAAGACCGCCATCCTGACACAAAAAAGTTGGAGAGGCTAGCTCAAGAGTTGGGTGAGGACCGTAGCAACTTGTACCAATGGTTCTTCAGGCAGTAGGCTCCATTCACCTGTTATGATGATTCATCTCATTGTGGAGTAGACGTGCTAAGAAAGAGCCTCCGAAATATTCTGGGGTCCAAGATAAATGTCGTACTCGACTGGAAGCAGCCTTCCGAGATTGCCTGTATCCAAATACTGAAAGTAAAAAGGCGCTTTCAGAAGAGTTAATGATGCCCATGCCAAAACTAGAGCGATGGTTCATCAATCGGTACGCACTTGATCAATATTCGTTTCAAGTCGACCTACCGCGAATTCAGGCGCAACGTTGAAAAGAAATATCGAAGACAGGCCGGGCTTGAAATACAGGGACTTGTTTTTAATATTCAACCCCCCAAGGTTCAAGTCCTCGAGAAACATTTTGGTCAAAACATGTACCCAAGTCAGTCAGAATGCCTCGCTTTGTCCAGCAGTTTATCGCTCGACGTAGTAACTGTAAAGAACTGGTTTGCAGCGCGGTAAGTTGTTGAATATCGTTACAGTGCCTCAACCTGAGAAACGCGTAGCCGAATGATTGAACGAAGGCGCCGGGCAGAGGCTGGACTTGAAATAGACCTCATAGCTTACCCACACCCGCCCCTGCCGGCCAGCAAACCACGGAACAAACGGTCTGTCTCCTCGTCTGAGATTATCTAGTGACTGAATTGTTAGCCAAAGGCGTACACAATCCCAAATTGCGGCAGATAAACTCGCCCAAGAATCAGGAACGCGTGGTTCTACAAACGGTGAGTGCATCCCGCTGTTATGCTCATTCCCACTGACGATCCATTCCAAGGCGTGAGACAGACATGCGATAGCCATGCATGAGGATTTTGCATTTACCCACTAGAGTTAGCCATATGCCTGCAGAGATCTCAAATGCCATTCGACAGCTTCAATAATACTTTGCGAATACCGTTTGCTGTTCATACGTTAAATCCTGGTGCGGATGTGTTCAACAAACAATAGTATATAAGTCGCACATCCTTCACTCTTCTTCATATCGATCAGACTTGTGCGAAGTCGGCAATGTTTTGTCCTGGTTGTCTGTAGAACGAGTCCGAGTCCTATCAGTATATACGCTAATTGTTCATTCTGTTGGTCAAGTCACGAGCGAAGATGTCTAAATGATCGACATTCGATCGCGCATCTATGGCTCGAGCCATCACCAATCCAATGACCTTGTTCAAGCGTACGTGTTGGATTCAAGCCGAAGCACCCAAGTAACCCAGAACAATCACAGTTTCAAAACATCTGGCGAGTTTAGTCGGCTGCGGCGAGAATTACTGCCGAATTCCAAGAAAGTGTCAGTCCCGCACTG